GTAGAAATGAAATCTATGGTCACTTTAGTTAATGTTAATTATGATCACTTTCTTCCAAATAAAGCCATTTTTATACATGTATAAAATCCATTAAGAAATGCCAGAATGTTGAAAGGTACTGACCTCAAACGCATAGCCAAATGCAACTGTTCTCATTCAAAATCAAAACTACTAGACAAAAATTTTTTAAAATCAAATGCTCTTAACAGTTATACGTCAAAGTGATGTAGAGTAAAAAAAATTTAAGATACTTCTATTTGGGCAAATTTTAAGATTGTATATTATAAATAGAAGATGAACCTTAAAATGCTTATTGCCAGGTATACTTTGATAACGACAGCAAGGAAGACACTGCCATCAACAATAGTTGTGTCTTCATGTAATTCTTCACATGGTAGTAATAAAACATTCATTTTTAAAATTAAAAATTAATTTCATTTTAATTGAAAAAATCATGATAATGTAGTCACACTAATTTTTTTACTTGAGAATTATTATCGTGGGCAAAACTTGTTTTATAACATGGTATCTTCACTCCTTACTGTAACTCTTATTTTCCCATTTCAGAAGGAAAAACTGTATTGGAAATTGAGAAAGGTAAGCAATCCTGCTTCCTTCAAAACCCATTTGCAGTTATTTTTAAATACAGTTTTAACAAAATTATTTTAAAATATAGCTTTGGTTGTCTAGTTTCCAAACCCATAATCTATTTTAAAAACAGCAAATTTTAAGGCAGTTTTATAGAAAGAAGGGAATGTAACACATAAGCAAACTGACAGCTAACAACAAAAGTGACACAATGCAATAAAAAGCATTTTAGGGGGCTGGCCCCGTGGCTGAGTGGTTAAGTTCGCGCGCTCCGCTGCAGGCGGCCCAGTGTTTCGTTGGTTCGAAGCCTGGGTGCGGACATGGCACTGCTCATCAGACCACGCTGAGGCAGCGTCCCACATGCCACAACTAGAAGAACCCACAACGAAGAATACACAACTATGTACCGGGAGGCGTTGGGGAGAAAAAGGAAAAAATAAAATCTTTAAAAAAAAAAAATAATAAATAAATAAATAAAGCATTTTAGGACATATTCATGGCAGCAAATGGTTCTAATATCCTTGATGGGTGCCAAAGGCATTTTATGTTTAGGAAAGCACCACAATAATTAATGTTCGTAATTATGATCCTAAAGATAAAATTATGTGTCCTATGCTTTAAGGAGTCAGGGAAGAATATGTTTTTGAAAGTGTCAGGATCAATTTTAAATGATCAAAATAATTTTTTAAGAGGTATTCAGCTATCCAGAAAACCATTAGACTTATTTAACCCTCCCTCCCTCCTTCTCTAATATACACAAACTTAATATCTACATCACATTTTTCTATTCCTAGAATTATTTTATTTGGGGGGATAGTACAGAAGTAAACAGTTCTAACATGCCCTTGATATATTAATGTTAGCAAATAAAAGCCAGCATAAAATTTACCATTTCCTAGAGACTGACTATTACTCAGTAGCTTTGCCGCCTGCCTTCTTTCCAAGGCCAGTTGTTTGTTTCTCTCAATTCTTTGTTGTTGCTCTTCTGTTAGGCTTCTACTGGACTCAAAAGCAAACTTCTCACTTTCTGATGAGTTTGTCAAAAAGGGATCTAATTCAGTAGCAGTTACATCATGGCCATTATTTTCCCTTACTTCATCTGCAGTAGAAAAGAAAAAGTTAGTACATCTGTAGTGTTAAACTAGCCAGAAAAAGAGCTTATGCCGCTATTAACTGAAAGCCAGTTTAAAGTGATAAGGTGCCAGACCTTAAGAAACACTTTGTGAGGTATGAGAACATTACAAATACATGTTTGATTCAAACAAGTAAAAGGAATATTTATAAATCACTTTCAAGAGGCGTTATAACTCAAATGGAAATAATAGTTTAAAAATATGCATGAATGGAAAGCAAAAGTTCTGAGTTATGATTAGAAATATTTTATGCTTGGGCTAATAAAAGAACTTAAAGAATCCAAGGCATATTCTTGTTTTGCATTAAACAAAAGCATTTTAATAGCTTGCCACAGTGTCTATATGAAACAGTAATAATTATATATAGGCTATTTTTCTTAATAGGGTAAAAGCTAGACACAAAGTGAAAAAGGAAGAGAAATTAGAGATCTGTGGACATATTTCCAAGTTAATTTTTTTAAAATTCAGTGCTCTCTACATTATTAGTCTTAATAAATTCTTAAAGTCCTGTACACCAGTTATCTCAAAGTACAATGCCCCTAAAATGATCCACAGTGGTATGGAAAGTAAATATTAGATCAACTTATATTTCACTTAAGAACTAAGAAAAATTGGGGCCGGCCCTGTGGCCGAGTGGTTAAGTTCACGTGCTCTGCTTCGGCAGCCCAGAGTTTCATGGGTTTAGATCCTGGGTGTGGATGTGGCACCACTCATCAGGCCATGCTGAGGTGGTGTCCCACATAACACAGCCAGAGGCACTCACAATTAGGGTATACAACTATGTACTGGGGGGTTGGGGGGGGGGGGGGGGGGGGGGGGGGGGGGGGGGGGGGGGGGGGGGGGGAGGAGGGCGGAGGAGGAAGAGGAGGAGGAGGAGGAAGAGAAAGAGGAGGAGGAGGAGGAAGAGGAAGAAGAAAAGAAGACCGGCAACAGATGTTAGCTCAGGTGCCAATCTTTAAAAAAAAAATTAAGAAAAATTAAGTTTTACTAGCTTATTTTTAAAATAAGGATTGACACTGATGAACTCTCTCTTATCCATGTGACAGTTATGGTCTGGTGTGTGAGCTACCTTAAAGGCAGCTCCACACTGTGCAAGGGTGGGGGAGTTGGGCCCTCACTCCTTTTTTAATTTCAGCACATTGAGACTTAGAGCTGATTCTAACTGCCCAGTTAAGCAGACTGACAGACTATCTAGTTTTAACCAAAACAATCCCAACGAAATGCACAAGTGGTAGCTTAAAAAGATTTTTGCAAAAAACGAAACGCCTGTTGGCAGAAGATAATAGAAGCACAAGCAAGACCAAGAAAATGGCAAAGCTGACATTTCACCTTCTCTCTACACCATTCACTTTATGGGGTTAAAAAACATGATAACCTCATCATATCTGACAAGTAGGCAAAACAAAAGATTTATATCATTAAGACCACCATTTGAAATACGAATTTATACATATTATCCTTGTCCAATCTATATACTGTGCCTTGAGGTACTAGCTAATGACAGTAAAAACCATCACAACTAACAAAACATTTAAGACACAAAGATAAACTTCTACAATTATTCCAGTGAGGTTTAAAAATCATAGGATATTTTTACCAGCCTTTTACAACCCAAATCCCTTTGAGGTTTCTTCCTTAATAGTGAAAGATAAAAAGCCATACAGTTTGGGGGCCAACCCAGTGTCGTAACAGTTAAATTCGACCACTCTGCTTTGGCGGCCCGGGGTCCGCTTGTTCAGATCGCAGGCGTGGACCTACGCACCACTTATCAGGTCATGCTGTGGTAGGTGTCCCACATATAAAGTAGAGGAAGATGGGCAGGGATGTTAGCTCAGGGCCAGTCTTCCTCAGCAAAAAGAGGAAGATTGGCAGCAGATGGTAGCTCAGGGCTAATCTTCCTCAAAAAACAAAAACAAAAAAAGCCATACACTTTTCCTTCCTGACATGGAAAAAAATGTGGCAAGAAACTAAAATGCATTCCTTTGTCAGGAAATATGGATGGAGTACGTGTAGAGAACATTGCTGGAGAAGTTAAGAAACAAGTATTAGAACCAATTATGCAATATATATATATATAGGGCATATATTTTTATATATATTCCTAATATGCTTCGCCTTACAGGATTCTGATTTAATAGTAATGAAATAAATAAAGAACTACTCCTTTTATGGGCCATGAAAGGAAAGACACCTTTAATAGTAAATGACCTCTTTAATATAACAATGTTTTATGGAAAAACAATATAAATATAACCACTGATAGGGCATTGACTAGGATAAAAGTGGGATTAGAAAAAATTAGAACCACACTTGAAATTAATTCAAGGCAACCTTCATAGGCAAGCTACTGTGGCAAAGAAGCTCAAGTCAAAAATATTCAATGCTCTATAGGACGCCATCACTTCGGTATACATAAACTAGTAGAGAAGCAAACTACATAATAATTAAAGGAAATAAGTGTTATGAAAAAAAAAGCATAGAGGAACCAGGAATGAGGGAAGGGATACAACTTTAACTGGGTGGTCGGGAAGACTTCACTGAGTTGACATTTAAGCACAGTTTGAAGAGGCTAAGAGTTAGCCATGCAGATCTGGAGGCAGGAGTTAGGACCGAGGACAGTGTCCAAGGCAGAGTGCAAGAGTGCAGAAGCCTTAGGACAGAAATGTGCCCGCAAGGTTCAAGGCACAGCCAGGAGGCAAGTGCGGCTGAAGCACTGCGAGTGAGGAACGGTAAAAGATACAGTCAGAGCGGCAAGGGGAATGGGGTGAGGACACAGGGACAAATTCTGTAGGGCCAAGTGGGACATTATAAGGAATTTGGCTTTACTTTGAGTGAAATAAGGAGTCACTAGAAGGCTTTGAGCTGAGGAGTAATATGACTACACATTTTTTAAAAATATAAGCCCTGATTAATTTTTAAGAAAATCAATTGACTGAAAAAGGGTAGACGAAAATTTGCTAGTAAACTTCAACAAAAATCCTTGCATCCTTTATCCCTGAACCTTGAGCACGCAGTATGCAGCTCAAAAGTGCTGCTGAATAAACTAACTATGCCATTGGTGTATGCTTAGGGATTTAAAAAAAAACCAACTCCTTTCCATATGCCAAATCCCATGCCATCAGAACGCACCATATCTTACCAAAAAATTAAATCTTGGATTACTTAAATGACAATCCTCCACACTTTTAAAAGCAATTTATAAATAACTTTGGGAGATTCTATATACAGCCTGTATTTTTACCACGTCTATTAAAAGTTTAAAAAACAAAAACAGACAAACATGTATGGAGCCATCGCACAGAGAATCTGATAACTCTGCAGACCCTGTCGGCAGGAACCATGTTTTGATGTGTGTGACTGCCTATGGTTGCACCGTACAACTGACGAGAGCAATCAACACCAGGACCAGTCACGGAGCTCCCCCCAAAGCCCCATGTCCAAGCCCTACGCCCCAAAGTGAAACGTAAACTATTCATCATCCAATTATTCTGCCTAAGTGCCCAGAGCCACTTTTTTAACGGTGTGCATGTATATGAACACTCTATCTTGTCATTCATTTGTATGAACAAACACTACAAAGGACCAATGGGTCACCATCAGAGTTCTCAAAAGCTTATGCTCTATGGCTGAATATATTTTTACTACCTCTCTTAATAGCCTTTCAGCCATGTCTTTAAGAAACAAATACCACAGACAACACTCCAGATGTGCCAGGGCATTTTAACTCATTCCTACTGACTGTATTTTAATGTATACTCAGTACAGACTGGGAACCCAGTCCCGTAGTACCGCCTACCCCAACTAGATCCACTTCTAAAAGCAAGATTGTTATCAAGCAGACAAACCTATAGTCTTACCATTATTGCTAATAAAATCTTCATGTAAAATAGGGAGATCAAGTCGAATTCGTTTTAAACAAGTCTGCAAATAAAGAGATATTTTTACATTTTCACCAATAATATTTGGGGGAAAATGGTTATTTATCAACTCTTAGTTTCAAAAACGTTGTTCTTCAAGTAACTACTATTAATTTTCCTTTTTTCTACCAAGACAAATTTCAAAATGAAGACCCCAAACAGCTACTCGGCTTCAACTAAATCTCTCCTTGTACTATTTAGCACTGAGAATGATATTCATAACAATCTCAACACCTACCTGAACTTCCTTTTTATTTCCCAGGTATTCAACTCTGTCAATAAAATCCTCAAATTGCAGTTTAGGGAATAGCCGATGTGCCCAGTGCTCCATGTGTCTGATGAGCGTCTTCAAGTCTTCAGCCTGGCACATAAAAATAAAAATGCTAAAGAGAAGACTCATTCTCACAGTGACCTTGTCAGCAGATTCTAGAATTGAATAGTAATGCCAAAGTCACTGGTGTCATTTTATATTTTATAAGATCAAGAAACTTTCAGAAGAAACTTCATGAAGAAAAATATTTATTAAGGGGTTAGAGGACTGCAGTCTAAAAGAGCACTGGATACAGATATTTAAAAATCAGAGGAAAAAAACTCAGTGCGAAAACTTAAAAAGTTAAAAGATAGTCAGGTGCGCCTTCTCAGAACTGCACAGTAATACTTGAGAATAAGTTTTAATAAAATGTCAAGATAGCTCTCAGGAATAACTAAACAAAGAGACAGGTCCCTAAACCATATAGAGAAGAAAGCATTGAGAATTCAGCACTGTGAAAATACATTTAAAAATCCCAAGGTCAAAGTACCAAACACTAGCAAGAGTAGTTCAAACATTCTCAGACCACAATACATCTCTACACGTGAAATTTCAATTTAACATTAAAGTTTTTAAAAAATAAAATGGAAAACAAAGTTTAATATACGGGACTAATGAATGAGAAAAGTTCCAAATTCCTGGTTTTATTGCAAAATATTTTATTCTTCTCTTAACAGTATTGAAAAAGGAGAGTGGTTAAAAGCACAGGCTCTGGATAGGACTGCATGGATTCAAATCTCAATTCTACCACTTAATAGCTGTGTGACTTTCAACAAATCACTTTATCTCTCTGTACCTTTTTCTTCATGTACAAAATGAGAATAATAATATGCATACCCACAGGGTTGTTATGAGGATTAAGCAATACAAGTAAAGTGCCTGACACAAAGCAGGCACTCAAATGTTGGCTGTTATTGCTGTTGTTATATGATCTTGCTTGTCTAACAAGCCAACAATGGCTGAGACAATCAACTCTACCAATGACTAAATATGTAATGCTGAGAGAATAATGTCTTATCATTCTCATTCTGTTAATAAAGATAGAGTTCTTTTAAAAATTCAATCACTTAAGATCATTTTCCAATTTTTGGGGGTAAGCTGGTCAGCCACCTCACAATGTCCTGTTAGACCCAAGGGACACAAGAAGAGAAACACCTAAAGACAGTGGCAAGTGCTGAGTCATACATGAAGAAAAAAGCAGTGAGGATTCAACCTTGTGATAAACTGTAAGAATTTTCAAGGGCAAAGTACAGAAGACTAGATAAAAGTAAACTTTCTCAGAGCCTACCCTCACCCAGTGAAGAAACACAAAACACTTATCCTTCATATAAGTTTATTTATTTTAATAAAGTACTTATTATGAGAATGAGGAAAACTTCATAAATTCAAAGCACCAATTCATCATTATTACCTGAAAATTCCAAAAAGGGCAACGAATCAACTGAGCTGGCTATGGTTTTTAAATATCCTGATTTACGCTCAGTTTTATGGCAAAACAGGACAGTCTATATTCTCTCTTCCTGTCCAGTGAAGATGAGCAAATGTACTATAATTCTTCAGCCTCCCAGGTTTGAAATCTTGGGGCTATTTTTGACTCCCTTTTTACCTCCCTATATCCGGTCACCTGAAGTACTATATGTTGTTCATCTCTCTGCTACTACTCTTCCAGGGTATTTTCACCTTGTTCCCCTGGTAAACCAACAGCCTCTGAACTGCTGTCTGCCTCCAGCCTTTTCCCTCTTTTCAGTTATCCTGCATATCACACCAAGATGGTGCTTGTTGTTATATTAACGTTATTCTAACTGGGCTATGAAACAGGAAGTCTAGGCTCTGCCCTTAACTGTTGGCATTGGACACTTACAACCCTAAAATCAGTTTCCTTAACTAGATACTGGGACCAACACCTACCCCACATGTTGAGAATTAAAGAATATATTTGAAAATACCTCACAAACTGCAAAGCTCTATAAAGATACCATCTGCAAAAAACTGAATCTCCACTACACATCATTCAAAGATAAGAGAATTTTAAAATGTACATTTGTACAGTGATTGACAGTTCTTAAATGTCCTCATTTTTCAACAAAACTTAACTGATACTTATTATGAACCAGGGACTGTGTCATATCTTAGGGACACATAAGTGATCAATACAGGTAAAGTCCTTGCTCTCATAAAGCTTAAAATCACTCTTTGAGGTAGACAAAGTAAATTTTACTCCTTGAAATTATAAAGTACAAACTCAGGCTTAAAGACCCAGATGTGACTTTCCTAAAGCCACAGTGTCAAAAATGAGACTATAAGACACGTCTTCTGATTCCTCAAACAGTGCCCTTTGCACTAAGTCAGTTTCTCAGGGGAGATGACGATGAATGACAGTATTTGGGAAACATTCTAAGATTCCTAAGAACACGATAATGGCCCCACAGTTTTACCGATATTTTAAAAAACAAAGGTCTAAAATAAAAATCAGACATTTCTTACCTCATGACCTTTACCCTTGAATTTTGCCTTATCAAACACATGCCTTAATGCTGGAAGCCCTCTCTCTGAAAGTAATCTGTGAATAGAAATGTTTGAATTTGAAGTTTTCTAGAGCCACTGAGGCCAAACCAAGACTATAAAAAGAAAAAATACTATCTGCTGAACTGAAAAAAAAAAAAAAGGTCTTTAGAAATATCTGATCTCCAAATCATCCCACCAAAAGCTTGTAAGAGAAGAAATTTAAAAAAAAAAAAGGATGTAAAGAAAAGTATAACTTTAAGGAAATAGTAAATGTACCTCTGAGCATCCAGCTTGGGTATGTTCCTTTTAACTGTTCTCTTTGGAGGCACAGGAACAGGCGCTCCCCTCCCCGACTCTGGTGAAATATACCAAGAGTTAATATTGTACAAATAATCGAAGCCCCATTTATAAAATGCATCATTTCTAAGCTGACAGATGGATAACTGAACGTGGACACTTTTTTTGGAGCTCTATACAGACCTTCATCAGGTTCGGCTCCTTCACCATCTTCCCTCCCTGGAGAAGCCGGAGGTGGAAAAGGAGGAAAAGTTTCATCTTCTACATGCTCATAATCTGGCAGGTCAATCAAGCCACGCTCCTGTGGTTCCAGCATCTTCTCCTCTACAGGAAAAAAAAGGAAACATGTTTATTCATCCAAGTAGTCTTCTTATTACAGTCAAGTTCTACCTGCAGCAAAATGCATGTTTCAGTCAGTTAAACCATATTTCAAACTCACATATCACGAAAAGAAGTAGAGACGATAACAGTTATGAAAAAAAGAACTGGGCTATATATTAATGAGATGTGGTGAGTTCTCATGTACACTCTACCACTAAAGAACTATACGATTTTGAGCAAACCATTTTACCTCAACTGTTGAGTTCCCCCATGGTGATTCTGACTTTTCAGAAGGTTTCAAACTGTGGTCCAAATGGATGTAAAATAGGCAGAACACAGGTACCTCACCCCCACTTCAACCAGAGCAGCTTTCTAAAAAAATCTGTCTATATATTGGTCTTCTAGGTAAGGTTTCCTTTGAAGAAAGGGAAATAACCCTCAGGTTGATCACCTGAAAGAATGCTTTTCAATACCATCTTACCTGACCTCTCAGCAACATCTGACACTTTTCATGAGCTCCTTTTTCTCGAAAAGTTATCTTCCTTGACTTCTCAAACACAGTACTCACCCGACTTTCCTCCCTTTCTGGACACTCCTACATCTTCTCTGCAGACTCATCTTCCTCTAACCTAGTCAGTTAGTACCCAAGACTCCATCCTAGGCCCTCTTCACTCATTTATGCCCTTGGCTTTAATAATCATTTACAGATGACTCAGTAATTTTTCCCCCACCCTAGGCATCAAATCTGAGCTCTAGATCTCTACTTCTCTAAAATTTGTCAAAGGTACCTATAACTCATCATGTACAAAATCGAACTTCTAAATTTTCCCAGTTCACTGAAAGACATCTATCCAGCTATGCAAGTCAGAAACCACAAGTCATCCTTAACACTTCCTTCCCCCACCCTCCATATCCAGTCGTTTTTACTTCCTAAACATGAGTCCGTCCATTTCTCCGGATCTCCACAACCACTTCCTAACATTCCTTGCTTGGATTTACTCCATTACTCCCATCCACTTTCGCCTTTTTCAATCCATCCTCCATCTTATAGCTAGATTGAACC